TAAAATATTCATTCTTTTTTGTTTATAGATTCACAATAAAGCTCTTCAAGCCCCTGGAAGGGCCATTGCTGTTGCTATTTCTCGATTGAAGGTATAGGTTTTACCATAACTTATCTAAATGGACAATTTTCATCTTCAATCATTATCTTATGCATAGTTAAATTTGTATTGACTTTTGTAATTTTCTTTTCTAAATGAAAGGCATTTTTCTGAGCATAGTATTAATTCTCTTTCCTTTTGAGAGGGAAAAAAAAGATGCTTATCGAGTCTAACTTTATCTTTGAATCTTATTTTGTTAATGTTGTGGTTTATCATCATTTAGGTGGGTATTGTTGAGCCTAGAATTCCTGTAATGATATATTAATTAGGGTGACAACAGAATGTGAATGTTCCTGAAATAAGTAATTTAAATATTGTTTGGAGAAAATATTGAAGGGGCTCTCTCTCTCTGTGTTCATCATAACAAAATCATTCTGGCTAATTTTTGAGAGTTATTATCAGTATCTATTTATTTATGGACTAGATTTAGCTAACATTGTAGAAGACCTTTCAGGTTTCTTTGTCAACAATATTTTAGGTATTCTATTTGCTTGAATATATTCTAGATTCATTATTTGAAAATTCTATTGGATGATGTGTCAACTATTCAGGATAAATTAGATGACTCTGCATACAAGATATTGACAGATTACCAAACAGCAGTAGTGACCCTTTTGGCACTCATATCAGCTTCAACTGGCGAGGTGAGTATTTTGGCATTCATGCTAATCAATAACCAAGTTTCTTTGGAACTTCATTATTCACGCTTGAGTTTGTTAATTATCACTGACTTCCAAGTGAAGCAAATATGGAAAGCAAGTTTGTTCATGCTGCCTTCTATAATTTTTTGTCCCATAAGAGAGTCAAACTGACCAGTTAACTTGTTAGTTTTTTCCGCTATGTCCTTGGGTTAAGATGAACCTTACCCTACCCCTATTACTTCCTTTTCACTGATATACACTTTTTGTATACTGACACGGCCCAGGAAGAAGATTGTTCATCCGATCGACTCTTGAGCAAAAGGGAGCTTCTGGAGAGGCAAATGCCAGCATTGAAAAGTCTGGTTTTGGGAACTTCACAATCCTGAGGCACGGAATAAGGAGACTATAACTTCCAATGTGAACTACATAGAAGATGTTAGCTAGGCACATCTTGTCTCCATTTTCGAACATTTTATTGTCTCTAGGGGCAGAATCTGGATAACACTGAATCTGGGGAACTCAAGATGCTCATCTTTTATAGTTGAGCTTGCACATTGTTTTGTTATCTGGCCTGCTCATCGGGCAACTAGTTAATAAGAAGTCTAGAATTTTTAGCGCATAGAGTATGATATTTTCTGTTGCAATTTAATGGGGTTATTTTTTTTGTGACAGTTTAGTGTTATGATTTTCTTAAGAAAACATTTATATAATATTCATGTATATGCTGATATGACAACTATATGCTTTTTTCATCATCTCCGATGAGAAACTGTTCTTGACTTCATGTTTCGTCATTGACAATGGTTTTCTGAGTAGCAGACAAGGTTCTTGTAGTGCTTATTCCAAGATTCCTTATGCAATTGTCTGGAGGAAAGCAGAAGAAGACCCACATACATTTCCACATACAGTTCCTTGATTGCGTTATAGAAGATACAATATATGCATACACAGAATATAATCCTCATTCGTCAATTCCAAAATGTATTTTGATATGTATTTTTGCAGTTTTCAATAGTTGCAGAAATTTGAGGTCGTTTCTGTTTTTTGCTCTGTTAGTCTAGCTTGACTTGGTATCTTACTTGGGATTTATAGAATGGAAGATATATGCATATATGTGTAAAATTCTGTATGATAGGCTCCAGCAGGGTTCTGAAAATTTGACGGCCCAACTTCTGAATTTTTTTTCATTTCAACTTTGACAACCCAAAATCTTATGACTTCCAAACTTGGGTTCAGCAAACAATGATCAATTCAAGACAAATTTGATATATAAACATAAATTTCACTTACCCATCATGAATCTTACACACAAAGTTTCAGAATCAACACAGAAAATCTCCAAATTTTTCACACATGAGACACACTCTAATAACTCAGATAAACAGTGAACTGAAGTAGAGTCTCAGCTCCGTCAGTTTCATGCTGATTCGTAGCAGAGAAAGTCTTAACAGTAGCAAACCCTTTAGCATTCACATACTTTCCCGTCCCACCCATGATCGCAAGATGAGATTCTGAAACCGCAGTTCTATGAACTCCAAAAAAGCTGATACTATCCACGTAGCCTCCACTCTCAAACATGGCGGTAAACGCCATTGTTTGACTACTTCCATCTTCAGAGCTCGCCACGTAAAACCCTTGTGCTTTTCCCACCAACCCAGATCCCAGCTCGTGCCCTTCGGTCAGCTCATCGTCGATGACTGTCATTGTTCCAAACATGAGTTTTTGGAGGGTGGTTCCGTCGGGAAGTTGGCCGCCGTTGAGGACAGGGAACCCGTTTCCTCCGGTGATGAAATTGTTGTTGCTGTTTTGGATTCCTGTAGCTGCGTTTCCACTCAGACCAGTGAGTAAAGGGACGTTGTTGTTGTTGAGGATTCCATTGTTGTTGCTGTTTACAGGGACGCCATTGTTGAGCGGGAGGTTTGCTCCGTTGGGTTTTGCGAATGGGACTTGGCCGTTCACGGCGGGGTTGACGACGATCCCTGTAACTGCTCTGGCTGATGGGTTTGATCCTCCGAGTATGTCGTGCATGAAGAAGATAAGTGGGTGGTCCTCGCCATTGCCAATTGCTGGTATTGGGGCAGTTACTACCGGGGCTGCTCCTGCTCCGGCGACTGGTGCGGCGGAGGCTACTCCGGCGGAGGCTGCTCCTGCGGATGCTGCTCCGGCAGAGGCTGCTCCTGCGGATGCTGCTCCTGCGGAGGCTGCTCCGGCGGTTCCAGCAGCCGGAGCAAGTGTTTCTTCTTCGTCTAGGATTCGAGCCGAGGTTGCTGAGGTGATTACGAGAGCTATGAGGGTCGAGAAGAAAGCAAACTTGAATGAAACAGAGATGAACTTGTGGGTAATTGCCATGAGAATAATGAAAAGAAGTTGTAAGGTGCTTCTTCTTTTGTTTTGAATGGGAGTTTTTCTGTGTTTACTTGATGATGTTCCGGGATAGGATGGAGGTATATATACACACACATATATATGTATAGAACTGTGTATAAAATGCGTAGATATAGGTATGGAGTGTAATAAGATGGAGTTGATGAAATGGGTTAGCTGTTGGCATCTCTAATATGCTGGTGTTTTGGTTAGAGCTTGGACAAATACATTTTTTGGCCTTAAAATAATGTACTTGATAATAATATGAATATCTGGCCTTAATTTCTGTTGTACCAAAACCATTGCTTAGGAACTAAAAGCAAATATCTATATTTATATATTTTATATACTTTCGAGTAGAGAATGCATGAGTATGTGTATATGTATATGTGTGTGGGTGTCTGTGTGTGTATATATGTGTATATTCTTCAGTGTGGCAAAGTAGCAGCTTCCTAGACATACGTATAGAGGTAAATACATATATGGCCAATATAAATTATTTATAGGCCTGTAATTAACGCATCCAGAAATGGATCAAATTCTTTTGGTAATTTTTATTTAACGATTTAATCAAGTCATATGGAAAATAATTTTCTAAGAAAAAAATAGAGTACTAGAATTTAGTATAATTATCCAAATAATAATAATTTTTTCTCTTTCGTGAAAGTTCAATGAATTAATTTCTGAGTCTGTGTGTTCTTAAAATTAAAAAAAATAAAATTATAATTAATAATTATTCATTCGAATGATTGATTCGTTATATTTTTTAGTACGATTAAGATGATATAAAATATAAATATAAATAAATTTTCATTTGGCAAAAATAATTTTAGAATATCCTCACGAGCTTTTATTACTGTTCTCAATAAAAAATCTATAAACATGGTTCCAACCAAATGCAAGTAGAAGAATATTTTTACCCGCATAAGCAATCAAATGCAATTAGAGGAATTTTTTCCTTACATTAGCAATACCACATGCAAATTGAAATTCATTTGAAATAATTAGACCTTATTTTCAGCTACAAAGATAGTAATTGATTTTCTTGAAAATATGAAATAGAAGTTAAATTTATCGTGTAATTTAGATATTCTCAAAATCTCGAATAATATTAAAAAATTTCATGTACACAAAACAAACCTGTAAAACTACTACTATCAACAAAAATACCATATCATATTCTCTCTTGATTATTAAGAACCAAAAACCAGTTCATTTGCAAGTTCAAAATCTGACCTTTCATGGTCACCACATGAATCTCTAACTACATTTTCCCAACCCTCTAAACCAAATCCCATTTTTCTATTCTCCATCTCCTCCAAAACAAAGCAAGCACCATCCAAATTCCCAATCTTCATTAACCCAACAACCAAACAACAAAAAGTTTTCAACTGGGGACAGTGTCTACTTCTCAGCATCACACTCAAAACTCTCAAAGCCGAATCAAAATCCCCCACCCGGCAGAACCCATCAACCATCATCCTATATGTAGCTGCATTTGGCTCACAACCCTTCACCTGCATTTCACTCAAAATTCTATAAGCCTCATCAGCCTTACCCTCCTTGCAAAAGTAGCTCACCAGTATATTATATGTCACAACATCAGGCTTATACCGCCTTTTCTTCATCTCACTGAGTAAAGATTTTGCCTCTTCAATCCTCCCTCTCTTTGCAAGATCAGTAATCAAGACACCAAAATTCACAAGCTGTGGCTTACAGCCTTGATATTCCATGTCAAACATCATCTTTTTAGCTTCATTGTACTCGCCAATGGAGCATAAACCCTCCATCAATATTGCATAGGTCACCGCATTTGGGTACTTTCCCTTCCTAATCATGTCATCAAGCAAGCTTTTTGCTTTCTCTACATCACCCTTTCTGCACAAAAACGTTATAAGAATATTATAAGTCACCACATTTGGTTGAACCTTTCTCTCAAGCATTTCATCGAACATGTAGCATGCATCTTCCCACTTCCCCTCTGCAAGTAATCCTTTCATCATTATATTGAATGACACCGCGTTTGGACGAAATCCCATTTTATAGGATCTTTCAAAAATCCCTTTTGCATCGACAAATCTGCCATTTTCAACAAGTACATTCATAAGTGTATTCAAAGACATTAATGTACGGACCGAATCAAAAGAAGTCATTCTATGGAAAATCTCAATGGCCTTATCCACCAACTTGGCTTTTCCATAATGCTCAATCAACGCAGTGAAAAGCATCTCTTTGCACCGAATATTACGGGATTGTATGTAACCGAGAACTGTCTCAACGCCGTCGAAGTAGCGAGATCGAGCAAGCTTGTAGATGAGAGCAGAGTAGGATGGGTAATCGTGTTTGAATCCCATTCGGTCATATTCATGGAAGAGCGATAAAGCTTCAGCTGGGTCTTGTATTTCTTTGAGATTGGCGAGAAATGGTGAGGGTTTGCGTTGCCTCTTTTCAATTT